GCGGAGCGGAGCGGGGCCCCGGCACTGACAGCGCCATCGCCGCGATGTCGTCCGACTTCGAGAGCTACGAGCAGGACTTCGCCGTGCTCACGGCAGAGATCACGGGCCGCATCGGGAAGGTGCCGAAGCTGGTAGGAGGTGAGCGGCTGCTCTCCGTGCCCGCGGCGCTCTCTCCGCAGGCCCGGCCGGCTCCTCCAGAGACGAGCGCGCGGGGCGGTGGCGGGAGGTGCCGGGCTGTTTTCAGGGGGGTCTCAGCGCCTCCTCCTCCTCCTCAGTCACMTCCCTGCCCCAGCAGCGRGTGGTCTCTTGAAATGTGTTGAGGATACTCTGGCGGAATGTTTGTTTGCTGGTCACCTGTGAGGATCAGCCCTTCCCTGCCGCCAGGCTGTGCGGCCACGCCGAGTTGCGCCAGTGCACCTGAAGGGTTGAGCAGAGCCGAGGGGATGCTCCCAGTGCCAGCATTGCTGCTGGATCCTGTTTATTGTGCTCATACCACAACGTCACTAATGGAAATCAAGTGTTTTTCATGTGGCATAGACAGATTTTGTGCATGACTTAATCTGAATCTGTGTTTTTGCTGCCTACTGWTCATACATTTGATTTGGATAATTGACAGTAGTGACTCACATGCCGGAGCAGTTTCAAAGAGATCAGTGTTCATTTACTTTAATGTGTTTGTCAGTAGCCTGCAGCGTTCATGGKCTAATTCATGATGCATCCCTACAGTAGAGTCAAAATTATCTGTAAGAGTAGAAAGATGAAAATCATAATCTCGTTWATCAGCCCAGCTGAATCTTCCAGCACGCAGAAATCAGTGCCCCAATACAGGGCTCCTGTGAGGCGGAGGGAAGCTCTGAATTCCTGATTTTCTCATCTGTTCCTCTTGTAGCTCAGCTTAATGCCTCTTCTGTTTCCAGCTCATTTAATACTTTTGCCTCTGCTTCTAATGCATGTTTCCCAAAGGCTTAGAATGCTTAACCATAGGGGTGGATATTCTATAAGAAGGAAATAAACACATGCCAATGGTGTACTTTTCCATGACTAAAGGAAAAGCTATCATGCATCCAGGACCAAAGAGTAGCACCCTATTTTTTTTTTTTGTGGGAAATGCATCATGAAGTGATGAAGTAGTGACTCTAAGCAGGATTTGAGGTAGGCGGTCAGCTGAAATGTGTGATCTCAGGGGATTTTGAATAAAAGTCTTTTTGATTCTGGAAGGTTATGGCCCATTCTAATCTTCGCAAGTTAGAAAGTCTTTGGGAAAACTAGGATTCCATTCTTTGTTTAAAGAGCAGGAAACAATACCTTTTCATTG